TATATTATAATGATATCGTTTAGGTCGATTTTGATTCGGTTAATTAACGTTTCCATTATTAATATTATTATATTCGCGCGGCGCCTCCACGCCCGTTCCCCATCCAAATACGTAATCACTGTGCAACAACGAGCGTTATACACGCGTAATTTACCGAACGATAATATCAAAACGTATGTGTGATATGCATGTGTGCGGAGGCTTATTATTGTAATGAAAGTATACGTATGCGTGTGTGTATGGTGTATTTTTCACACTATAGGTCGTATGAATATGACAATCGCGTGTATTTACACGCACAATTTCCCTACAAACGTTTTCAAGTAATTACACATACGATTTTCAGAAACCAGAAAAGCCACACATCTTCTTTCAACGGTATTTAATCTGTTCGTACACAATACAGTACCGAATAACGGTCTCAAAATATCGAGAGAAACAGCTAACATTAATATTCTAAAACCATTAAATTAAATTCATCAAAATTCCAAAATGAAGTAGGTGGTACCTATAATTGAATAACAACAAAAATAATTTGAAAATAAATAAATGAATTTCATACTTTTTTCTGTTTCATGTTGAAGGGTCAATTTAAAAACATCTATTGACACTTTTTTTTTTTTTAATATAAACAATGAAAAATTTAATCAGTGTACAAAACAAATCAAATAAAATCAATTAAAATTGAGTTTTGAAATTTACAGGAAAAATTAAAATATGCATTACAGGTACTATTTTTTTTTTTTTTTTTTTTGATCATATATGACGATAAATTAATTTTCTTGATAGTTCAATATATTTTATGAACCTAAAATATAAAATCTAAAGACCCTAAAACCTTCAAGCGTTGAGGTTCCAGCGTCTTCGCCCCTTGTTTTCCCGATGAATACCACAATGTACAATCATACTCGTGCTTGTACGAGCGAGGGCATGTGTTATGTACGCCCACAAATCACGACTACATCAAATTCATATATAATATATTCGAATACTGATGCAATATGTATTTTTTTCTTCTTTCGACATCGTGCGTTTTGGTGCTCTCTTTTACTTGTACTTTTTTCGTATTTTATTTTCCAAACACGAGTCAAACAATAACTCCGTTTCAGTATTTCGTTGCAATGTACGTGAATACCATTAGCTATAAAGCCGATATTATTGTAGAAGAAATGCTTTTTCGCTTTTAAATTGCACACCGATAAACATATCATGGTTACCTGCACTGCGATCTCAAATTAATATGCTAAATAAAATATATACTTAAAAGATATACCTAAAATGTATTTAACTACACATAATGTTTGTATTAGCCGCAGTTTTCCACACATTTTTTTTTTTGAAGGGTCCAACTTGACCGCGTGCAATTTCCCATATCCAAAATGATTGCGCACGCGTTCATATTACATACATACATGCTTTATATAGTACAACAATAGATAGATACGCGTCCCTTTCCGGTCTTATTTAATTTGTCCGGGGGTAGATTATTTTTTTTAATGACATAACCCGTTGTTACGGTATATTCACGTATATATACACATTACGCGACGGCAATAGCAGCAGAGGAGGAGATGGTGGTTGGCAGGACAAAATGTAAATTAATACCGTCGGGGGTGCAGGTTAAAAAAGTTTTTAACCGCACATTGCGCGCGCTTTTTATTTAAATGACAAACGCCCTAGAGAGCACTTGGTCCGCCTGTTTTAAATGTATAAAATGATGATAATAAAAACACGGGATGCAGAAAAAAATGATTGCGAATGTGTTGAGGTGAGGGCACGTACACCGCGTAAAAAATCGTCTCTATTGCGCGCGTATATATAAAGAGCAGTTTTCGTGTGTATTTTCTGTTTTTTATTATTATTATTAATACCAGGTCGCAGATTATGCGGTTTAATATTCACTTCCGAGAACCGTTTTTAATTTTCATCCGATTTAATTTCCTTTAATACCTTGTGCTCGACGTCGTTAATTAATTTAAATGGAACATAAAAACGAAAATGTTAAATTAAAGCTGACTTCAAATTCGTTTTACCGGTCGTTTCTTTTTTGCCATAATTCTTTTTTTTTTTTTTTTTATCACCGAGCTGTTTAATCTGATCAACTCATTCAAAAGCCACGTTATCACTAGGTAAACGAGTAAACCCTATTCAGTTTTTTCTTTTATTAATCTGTATTTCTGTGTACATATAATAAAATATATGGTACAGGTAGTCGGGAAATAAAAAGAAAAAGATTCGAAAAATTACTATACTATAAGTTGTATATTAACTTTCGCGACACAAATCATGTTTTTTATTTATTTATTTTTGATTTAGAACGTTATAATACTTTTGTGAGATCACTGTAGTCTAAAAAACAGCACCACGACAATAATCAAATCAATCAGTCCTTGAAGTATAATATATTATGATATTCAAGTATAGTATAATATTACGAGAACCTATAAACCGTTGGCAAACCTTTTGGCACGTGTGTTCAACATGGCGAATTGATGAAATTCTAATAGCGTACGAAGATTTTTTTTTTCGAAGAAAGAGAATACATAATTTAAATACTAGTGTTTTAACCGTATACACGCGGGATGTGAAACAGTTGAAATAAAAATAAATGTATGGGAAAAGTATCCAAACTTTTCGAACACCCTGCAATGTACGTGTACAAGTAAAATCAAAATTTCTTCGTAAAAGATTAAAACTACAAAATTTAATATGGTTTTTTTCTTTTTATAAACCCATATGTGTAAGTCTTTCACATGAGTTAATTTAAGAACGCCTAAAAACAAAATTCGGAGCTTCAGGCCCGAAAAAGGTCCATTATCCCCGATTTAGGTATATATATATATATATATATATATATATATACTATAAACATTTAAACGCGTGATGTCTATAATACGATTGCTCATAGTCTACGAAACGACTCTTGCAGCGTGTCTCTCGTGTCGACGGGTAAGGTAGGCAAGTAAAAGATGCATAAACAATCACTATCATCGTCGTCGTCGTGATCGTCTGGGGTTGGCAACACTGCGAATTACCCCTCCGCTCACTTATAAGAGCTGTGGTGGTTCCGCGAGCAGCAGTTTTGATCTCGTCAGCTTGTAAAGCAAACCATCCCCCGTATCCCCGCAATTAGTAGTATTATCGAACAAGTGAGTGGATATGGGGGGGAAAGCGAGAAGAGGCGGCGGCGTTCGCAAGACGTTGCAAGATGTGACGCCGAGATTATTGCTGTAACGCAGATACCCTCGTTAGGCACGGGGTTTGAGTAGGTGGTGGAAAGGGTACGCGCACGCCACCAAGAACCCGGAGTGTAGGCGACGGAGGTCGAAGGGTAGGGGACGGGAAGTTAAGGGGTGTAGGGGCGACCGACGATGAGTAGGTGGTGTAGAGCGCGCGCGCAGTCCAGATGGCGTCGTCTTAATGCGGTTATTAAAAACAAGACCGTCTAACGACCTTTGCAAAAGCCCGGGGGTTGATTAATGGCGAATACATGGACGCCTAAATACCGCGTAATTTGCAAATACACCGGCACAAACGGCCCCCGGACGGTCTTAATTACGGGCCGTTGTTCCCCCCGCAAATGGTTTAACTTTATAATTAAAATCGCATACAGCGATATAATATAAAGTTTTAGCCCTTCGCATCCTCTCACGCGGCATCCACACTTCTCGCCGCCCGAAAATACGTAAATACGTTGTACGCATATACCTGTATACTCGTATATATACACACACGCGCGCACTCGGTAAAAACCCCTTTCCAGTGCCGCCGGAGTCTACGGAATAATGGCCGCGGTCTTAACTCTTTTAATTATGTGGAAAACGATCAGATGCACACACACACACACACACACACATATACATTATACTTATTTATTATATAACACATGTGCGCACGTGTTTAAGGTACCGCCACCAATTTCTCGTCGTCGTCACATCCTCCCCTACATCAGCCACTGAAGCTACACGTACTTGTGTATACGTATTTGGTAATGATACCGAGCAGTAAATTAATTATTCTATAATACATATATTGTACACATTCCACTGGCCGACTGTGGAGTATAGCGAATAATAACCATCGTTGTCAATGATATTGTTCTGTATGTATTCACGCAGCAGTACGAAAAATATAATAATGTGTTGTGAATAAAAATAAAATATTGTTAATACTTTCGGTTATTATCAATTACTGACATTTTTAGTAAATACAGATAACCAATATAGAGGTAATTAGAAATATACCCTTATAACTGTGGCGTCATGCTTTTTTCCAAAAATATTTTTCTTGTGTTTGTCTTTCGTTATGAAAACCGTATGAATTTTTACCCATGATAGATGAAAAGTAATTAGATTAAAAATCATTAATTTTTTAACGAGGCATATCGAAATCAATTACAAGCAATCCGCACGCGGTAAAAAATTTGATATTTTCAATTTTTTGGTTGCCTCTGTGCGTCACGCCGAGGAAATTAAATAATGTCATCGAGTGATTATCGAACCGATAAAATTGTCGAATATAACACGGCCGTCGTAGAGCACGGCAACGAGAAGTTATTGGTAGCTAACATCGACGAAACGATACTTGCGAGTGATACCGTCATCGTTCTTGCAGCTGATGATAGATAAAACACCGGATACCCATGAGCGCGACTAGAGCCCAAATATTTGGGGGTGCTGAACTTGCTGAAAATAAAAAAAAATTGTATTCAACTAATTAAATAATTAGTATACTATGTATACTAAGTATAGTAATTACTATGGATTATATAGATCTGGAAAAAAAAACAGGAGTGCTACATGTGAACTCAGAGGTGCTAAAAACCCTATTGCGCCCTCCTAGTTGCACGTACGCGGATACCCGTATTGAAATGTAGAATACCGCCAACCCTACAATAGTCTTAGACCACGATGTGTACAGGGCGCGCGTCGTCGTGCTCGCGCCCCTTAAAACGATACGCTTTCTGACCACGCTCGTCGTTGTTGTTGTTGTTTTCGCAGGTGTGGTTCCAGAACAGGAGGACCAAGTGGCGGAAAAAGCACGCGGCCGAGATGGCCACGGCCAAGAGGAAGCAAGAAGAGGCGGCCGACGAGAGCGATGAGGACGAAGACATGCGCGACGACAGTGCGGCCAAACGGCTCAAGCGGGAATTGGCCGCGCATTACGGCGGCGGCGGTGGCGGCGGTGGTGGCGGCGTCGGCGTTGGCAGCGGAGGCGGCGGCGGCGGCGGCGTCGGTGGTGGTATGTAGCATCAGGCGTGGTCAGGCGTCGGCCACTCCGGCACCTTGGACCTGAAGACTCACGAGTAAACCTCGTCGTGTTCGACTTCGACAATATGCGCAACCGTTGCGTATTCATTATTTCCGATAACCTCGAACGGTCATCGAACAAGTCTGTACATAAATATTACATATATATATATACATTTTTATACATATTATAAGCACATCGCAATGTGTCTAACCTATCCGAAACATCTAGTCATCGCATACGTTGTTTAGGTCTTGTGCATATTATTATTATTATTATTATTATTATTATTATTATTATTATTATTATTAGAGATATGAAAAATTGTAATTACGGTACGTAAATTTGTGTTACACGGCTCGTACGCGTCGAGCTATGATTGCGAACAAATAGAATACGCTCGTCGTGCGCAACCCCCCCCCCCCCCCCCCCCCTCGTCAACGGTACGACGTTACGTATTATATTCCGTCACGTATTCGCGCTCGAACGCGGTGTTTTTCGTTTTTCGTTCTTGTTTGATTATTTATTCGACGTGCCCATCCCCTACCGTTCCTCCCTCGTGTTTATTGTTGCAACCTGTACGGACAATATGCTGTCGATTATTATTATTATTATTATGATTATTATTATTATTATTATTCAATACTTTTACGGTCCTCGGCTTTTTTCCACGCTCTGAAAACAGTAATGAAATTATTCAACGCATTTTTTACGCAAATATCTATTCGTGTGTGTACGTAAATGACATTTACTATAGATCAGCGATTCCTAAACAGTGCCCAGAAAATTCCGCGGTATCCAAGGGATGCCGACTGGGAAAACTCTGTATTCGTGTGTTATAAATCTTATCACTTTTAAATCGTTCGTGCTGTCAAGAAAAAAAAACCGGTTCCTTATTATTTTTTACTTTAATCGTAATTAACCAACCTGATTCGGTGTATGAAGTGCTTACCTAATCGAGAATACAATATGAACAAAAAATTTAATTTACGATGGTGTATCATATTATTTGTATTATTTACGTGCAACGCCTTACAATGTTTAACAAGTTTGGGAATCGCTACTATGGACAAACATTTCTACTGCTTATTTATCTGTTGTACATATATTATATTGTGTATTAAATAAACCACGGTTTTAACATAATAATAATTGTAATTACGATGTGAATACTATATTAAATAATATCCTTAAGTACGTTGTATATACAATATATATATATATTATATTTAATGATTGTTAATATTATTATTTATTTAGCGAAGGTATGTTTGGATAATCGTTTGCACTTATATATTACATGTACCTACGGTTAATATTATAATTTACCACTAAACACTAAGTTAAACAAATCATGTAATCTTTAAAGAAAAATAAGTGAAATGTTGATTCAAAAAGACATAATATTATTATATACATTGATGCGTTTATTTATTTTCACAATTTTTACCTATTAAATAAATATTGAATTTATCAAAATGATAATTACATGTATTTCTTGTTTTTTAGTTTTGCTCTTACAATGCATTTATGTTACAATACCTTATTTGTATGATACATAATATACATAAGGTAAAAGTAGCAAATTAATTTACTGATTTTCTACCAATATAGTATAATGGTCACTGGTCGGCATGAGTTGATACCAGTTAACACTTTGAGATTTAAAACTTCTCAAATGTTAAAAAAAAAACAATCCCATCGGATACGTTTAGTGAAAAAGAAAATCGATTCATAAAAATGAAAAATACATAGTTGAATAGTATGAATAAAGAATATGATTTTTTTTATAAAAATGACTTTAGAAAAACCTGAATTCTTCAAGAAATATTAATTATGTTTTTTGGCACGTGTATCCAGAGACGTGCCGTTAAGATTTGGCACCCAGGGCAAAATTAAAAATATTCGACCCTTATTTTATTTATCATTAAACATAAATCATAATTTTATAAATTTTTGGCACCCCTTTAAAACCATGCGCCCGGGGCGTATGCCCCCTAGGCCTCCCACTCCCACAGATCTGCGTGTATCGGTAAAGTATACGACCGGTCACTAAGCGTATCGATTGAAACATTATACGATCCACAAGACGCATTTGACTAATATTATACGACAATGTAAGCTGTATATAGAATAGATTATAAATTATACACTATAGTGGCACCGAATAGATAAATCTGACACTAAATCTAGGTAGCTATGTATATTGAGAATATAAGAATTTATGTATTTGTATAGGCCTATACATAATACATATGCATAATACACACTCAATGTTCAAACAATTGAAAGTGTTTCAATCATGTCTTTACGATGAATTCACGTGAAGTTTGAACGTGCTACTAAAATTAAACGACAACGTGAAGAATCACTTCAAGCAATGGAAAAACAAGCAAAAAAAAAAAAAAATGAAAATAATATCTAATAAAAATGTTCTCGCTGCATTAATTCGACAAACAGAACGAGTGAACATTCCAGATTTCGACCAATGTAAAACTGATTGTCGCACATTATTGACTGTAGTTATTGAAATTATTGACGGAGAATTTTATCGATTAGATTTTAATGATGGGATATTGAATGAGTTATTCACTAGAAATCAATTTACTTCATGTGAAAAAAAATCTATTCCAATATCTGGTTCCAAATACAACAACAAGCATACGCTAGGCATAATTTTCGCACTTAGGCGGGTAAGGATTTTTGAAGTGTGATTGCCAGAATAAATGTACAACGCTAATGCTGCCAGTTAAAAATATACTATTTAATATCAGGTGCTATAATAGTACAACATGTGCAAATAAAAATAAAAATTTTAAATAATTATTTCTAATTACCTACTAATTTTACTGATTTTTATTTACAAATAAATAATAATATTGAATGCTGTGAATCGAACGCAATTACTGACAACGCAGCTTGCTGGTTAATAATCAGCGTCGTGAGTATGTGTGCAAAATAAATATCTTCATACTCGAAAAAAATTTTAAGCAGTCATAATTTAATTATTTGTTCCTTTCGGTTTCTACGTAATACATTTATAATGAACTCGATACATTAAGTCGACGCTGTTTAGCGACATCACCATATAAATCACTATCAGTCATTATATTATATTCTTAACGGATCCGAAAAAAAAAATCTAACGATCGTTAGAGACAAACTCGAGTTTGTACAAATATATTCATATAGATAGAAATAGTCCAAAAAAATTGGGAGCCTTCCAAAAGGATTTAAAAAATTCTTAATGTCACTGATCAAAAATCAGATGATTTGTCGATATTCAAAATTTACGTTTTGTAATTTATTGATTCTCTACGTTATTCATTTTTTCTGATGAGATGTTACTATCATATATGTTATTTTTTTAACTTAAAATTTTCTTTTTAAATAATTTGCACAGGCGTAAATAGTAACTTTTTTATTACAGATAAAATTATCACGCGAGTGAAACTAATTAGTATTTAATTATGTTTACACACATTTTTTCACCTGTGTATTACATTTAAATATATTTATAAAACAGCTTAAGTGGAATAGATTAAATTTCATCCTCTTTTCACTGAAAGGAAAAACTTAATGTACGCACATTAAAATACAATTATACTCTTGTATTATATTATAATCAGAAAACAAAATATTGACTATGCAGGGCCGTATTTAAGATTTCACCACCCAAGAGCAACAACATTTTTCTGCCCATCTTCCCTAAACTGCAAAACTGAAAACAAGCGTCTTCGAATATTTATTAAAAAGCCACATGCTACGCTTGCAATTCATTTTTCCCATTTCTGTAAACTGCTACACAATACTTGGAATTAATACAAAATCCAAAATAATAACAGAGTTATAATAACCTAAATAAAGTTATAGAAAATTTTATTTAAACGACTGATTGGTACCATTATACATACGAATAATTAAGTACTCTTCGGTCTGAATGTCCCATCTTCATATAAATCAAGATTAAACCAATACCCGTATCTCAATACAATACAATGTCAAATAAAATACTCTTAAATATATATAAATGTTTTATGTTACTAAATTATATAAATTATTTTTCAATATTATTATTTTTTTTATGTAATTTTATTAATTCATAAATAATTTTCCATGAAGAAAAACTAAGTTTGAGCTTACTTATACATCCTGTATACGTATTGTTTGGATTACTTTGATAATGAACTCGTAAAGTCAAGTGATATCAACAACGTCTAATTTGAAATTGTTAAGGAGTAGCTATCCACTTTTCTCGATTCCTAATTTAATGCACAACTGATTTCGATCTAATTTTCTAACTGAAAAAAGATTGATAAATCCCATAATTGAATTATTTTTTCAAGAAAAAATTATCATATAATATAGTACAAGTTAGGCAGTGAGAAACAAATTTAAAATTAATTAATGCAATTATAGTGTTTGAAACTTAATACACTACATTGTTTTTTGAGGTCAGTACCGTAACAGCGATGCTGAAAGAGCGTATTTGTCGTTTATTTTTGTCTATTTGTTTGTCAAAGATGACAATATCGACTTTCACTTTTACACATGTGTAAAGATGTATATATATATATATAAAATGAATATAATACATAGGGTACATATACGTTTAGATTTTTGTATCTTTGTTGGATGTAGTGTTGTATTATATGTGGAAACAGATTTCTCAATTGAATTAGGGAGAGGGTAGTGCTTGTTACGCGAGGAGGGGAGGGATAAAGGTACATTTGGTCGAAAAACTGTCCATTTCATAAGTCGACAGTAGCCATGGTAACGGTCTGCACAGATTCTTATCGAATCAATTTTGGAATTCAAAAGGACTTACACCCCCGCTTGTGCACCACCCGACCATTGATGCTCGGACACACGCGCGCGCCATTTATACCCTTGTAATACACCGTACAACATTTTTATTCGCCGCTTTTTACCCCTTGGCGCGCGGCGTACACGCATATATACGTATAGAAAATAGCTGCACAAGTACAAACTCCGGTCCTCACACTAAGTATTATTTTTATGGATTTATTTATTTTCATACGATCCATCTTCTTTTACGCCATCTATATGAGAGCAGGTTCTGCATTGTGTATACGTTTACGTTGCAATTTCACCAATTTCTGGGAAATAGTTATGAAATCATTTAGATTTTTCCTCTGTCCATTACGAATCCATTCAAATCACATAATATACCTAATAAATTTAATATAAATAATTATCAATCATTTGTTTTCGTTTTCACCGTTCGGATAGACATATAACCTATATTATATTGTAATAAGGTACGCATTGTATTAGTGTATTATTGAGTGTTATTAGAGCGTGTAGAGTGAACGAAAACATTTCGTTTCACTGTTTCTCATCGTCGTCAGTGTTTTTGTTATTATATTCATTATACTACTAAAGTATTTATATTTTATAAACTTTTAATTTCCCGCCGAGTCTCCTAATTATATAGGTACATATGATCAGGCACGTAGCCAGGGAGAGCGTTACATGTGCAGTAACACTCCCCTTTAACTGTGTTATAATTAAGTCTTATAAAGGTAAAAATTCATCATAAACCGTGATGAAAACATTTTTATCATAACGAAATATATACATACCAATAATGTAAAGCTGGGATCCAACTTCTCATTACACCGTTTTGTCTAATAAACCAAAACCGTAGTTTTGTGTCGTATCATACACGATGTAAAATAGGTACATATGGCAAAAATGTACATTTGAAATGTTAATAATATATTTAAATACTTTCTCATAAACTAGTACATTACACACGAATATATATTCATTTGTTTGTATGCTTGTACAATAAAGTATACATAAAGTAATTATTTTGTTGTGTATAATTTTGAATAACACCCCTCTTTTAAAATACCTAGCTACGCGCCTACATATGATTAATTTTAGTTAGGTCGTTCGTATAACAAAACTCTTCCGGAGGCGCTAAAAAGGACCGCAAAGTTAATCTGCAGATGAAAAGTTTTGTTTTAGCCTTTTATTCGCGAAAACGAGTTGAAAACAAGCAACTCGTCATTTCATACTGTACAATGTAATTAGACACCGTATGTTTTATATAAAGCTTAGAAAGCTTTCTTTTTAACAATGAACATACCAACATAAATTTCTTTATTTTATACATAAAATAAATAATATTCTTAACA